GTACACCTTGTCCATGGCTAACGCCGGCCCCAACACGTAAGTTTTATTCACACTGCTGTGCTTTTCCCCTTGGACTACAGAGGTCACGCCGCGATTAATATACTCCCACTTTCCATTTCGTATTCCTTTGGCTATTATCTTCTAACTAACGTATCTCGTATTTAGCAACGGCTCTCAGTTCTTCATCACCACTGTCAAGACAAGCTGGCTAGACGGCCGCCACGTCCCCTTCGGTGTTGTTGCGGACGATGCTTCCATAGCTGTGGTCAAGGCTATCGAGGCTACCGGCTCCCAGAGCGGTGCTATCAAGTACAGCAAGCGACCTACCATCGTCAACTCGGGCGAGCTTGCCTAAAGGAAAAGGCGACAGCTTTTCATCTTTGTTGCGTGTAAAATTTCTACTTGGCCCATGATGCTACCAACTTGCCTCTCAAGTATTGGTACAGGCCACACAAAAAGGCTTGAGGGAACTCAGGGAGGGCCAATTGCAAGACACTTCGACCAGCATGTCGTTAGACACTAGGTAGTTGCCAATAACACGTCTTGTTTTAATTATACATATCTACCCTAATTTTGGTGACAAATCGTTGTAATTATAACCTGACCTCCCTGGTCGTACTGATCAGCATCAATGGCTTTGTCCGGATCTGGCAAAACTCTCCCAACTTTTTATTTTGTCCTTGATTGTAAGACATGTCTTTTCCCTGCCAGTAAACGCCGTGCCATGCTATGTCGGAAAGCAAAAACGCCATGTTTACTCCCCAGTAATACATTGTACCTTATAATAACCATTTGTCAAAATATTCGCACCCTCCCGCCCATACAGGTCCACCTTCTTCGCACAGTTCAAAGACGGGGCATTTGCCGCAAGGTACGGTTGTCAAGCCATTGGTTCTCGGCTCCCAGAAATCTTCGCTGTCTAGTTTGACCATGTCCGGATGTTGCTTAGACACACGCACGGCCCTGTAGCCAACTCGATCGCCGGTCTTAACCTCCTCAATTCTATTTTCCCAAATGAGAATGTCGATAAGCTCCTGAACGTGTTCCGTCTTCAGCGGCTGTCCTTTGGCTATGTGCATGGAGACGATTTCTGCCGTAATCTCCTCGGCCGTGGGGTAGCCCATGTAACCCGCAGGTAGAGGGAGGCGGAGGGCTCCGCGGGCCTTCGATGCGGAAGCTGCAGGGCGCGTATTGTCATCTTTAGACATTGCGTCTGCGGAACGTTTCTTGCTCTTTATGGCGGCCTCGGATAAACCGCCTCTTATTACGCCCTTCTTCGGCAGAACTGGGCTTACGCTTCGAGCGCTTCGTTCTCCCGTACTTCGATAGCTACCCCTATCCTTTATAATGCGCATCACCACAGCCTGCAGTGTGTCGATGAAGGCCTCGTCGAGATATTGATCAGTATACCAGGGACCGCCTGTTGCGCGGGCGGAGGGCTGCATGTTGAACTTGATCCACATCTTCTTGGACATGTTCTCGACGGTAGTAAACTGCTGGATGAAGCGCTTGGTCTCCAGCTCCTTGAGAGCCTTTCGCAATGCATTGTCTTGGAGATTAAGGCGCTTTTTTATGTCCTGCTGCCATGCGCCCTCGGCACCGGCCGAGTCGATGATTTCGTAGACTAGGACCTGGTCCTCGGAGGTGAGGTGCTTGTACCTATTGAGAAAAGATTAGAATAGGGAGGATAATAGGAACAAGACTTTACTTACTTGGCCGCCTCGGCCTCAGGACGGAGTCGCCATGCTAGGCCGCTGTGAAAGTGGACGGGAACGAAAAGGCGCTCCCGCGTCAGAAGTTGTATGATTTGTAGGAGTTTCTTTACGTCTTTGGGCGGAACGACGTCGAGCGCCATGAGGTCCTCCTGGGAGAAAAACCTCTCGGGATTATCTCTACACGCATCTTCGCAGGCGGAGTAGAGTTGATTTTTGAGTATCGAGGTTTGGTCGTCCATTTTGAGTAGCGATTGAGTCGTGATCGTGACTCATATATTAACAGTAATAAATTGAAGTCGATGATAATTTACAGGGCGGCGCGCGATAGGTAGAAAACGCGACAAGTTGAAGCGTATTGTACCTAATTCCAACCAATCTGGAAAGGACCGAGGTACATAATTGCTTAACGCGCTTCGACCTGGTATGTCTAGAATGGAAGACTTTATGTTGACTTTATGTGTATGTGTATGTGAGGTACGTAAGAGTAAATCAAGACGACGTGCCCCGCGCAACCAAAAGTATTTGGTAGTTCATATGATAAAGTTTATGATAAGTTGGAGGAAATATTTCTTATCGATGTCTTTGGTAGCAGCACCGGTGCTGCAGCCTGCAGTGTTAGCGCGATACGCCGATACATTGAACTGACAGACTGCCCGATAATGCGCTATCGCTATCGCTATCGACAAGCAGATGCAGCTTTCCGTCAGGGACCTCAATACCCCACCGTAGAAAGCTCTCGAATTCATCGCATTCAGCCCTAAAAAGATCCAAGTCCCAGTGCTTCCATTCCAAAGTTTGGACATCGCAACTTACATACAACTTTACCACATATAACTTCTACCTTGCGAGTATTTCTTGCTTCTTCTCTCTCCATAAGTTTAATTTTACACGAGACACGAGTAAGAATCTTCTCAAGTTTATAAAATATTCATCCAAGTTGCATACAACAACTGCATTTGAAGAAAGGTAGCATCAACCCACCATGGCCTCTGTAGACGAGCTTAAAGCTCTGGGCAACAAGGCTATTGCCGAGAAGAAGTTTGACGAGGCTATGTAGGTTTTTATGTCTTATGTCCCTATGATATTGATCTTTTTTAAACTTTACAACCCAAGTTTCCAAGACTCAGTTGAGACCTCAAGACTAACAATTCTACTAGTGATGCCTTCACCAAGGCTATTACCATCGACCCAAACAACCACATTCTATACAGCAACCGATCCGCTGCTTATGCCTCTAAGAAGGATTGGACAAATGCTCTAAGTGATGCCGAGAAGACTACCCAGATTAAGCCAGACTGGCCGCGAGGATGGGGTCGCAAGGGCGCAGCCCTGCACGGTTCAGGCGACCTTTTAGGTGCCAGCGAGGCCTACGAGGAGGGTCTCAAGCACGATCCTAACAACGCCAATCTAAAGAGTTCTCTTGCCTCCGTACAGCGAGCGATGGAGCAAGAAGCCGGTATGTAAATGCCCATACCCTGTTTCATCTTCCCTTGAAACGTATACCTTTGAATGTTTTTTTATGTACTAACTCCCTATAGGCGCTGGTCTTGGTGGTGATCCTACAGGCGGACTGGGCAAGATGTTTAGCGACCCCAATCTCCTCCAGAAGCTGATGAGCAATCCTAAAACCAGCGGTTTCTTTGCTGATCCATCCTTCATCGCAAAGATCCAGGCCATACAACAGAATCCCCAGAACACCCAGGACTTGTTTAGCGATCCTCGAATGATCCAGGTATTAGGAGTTCTGATGGGCATCGATATGCACATGGGAGGCCCGGATGACATCCCAGGCGCTGCCGCTGCCGCTGCCGCCTCTTCTTCTAGCACTAAGGAGGCAGAGGAGGACGTTGAAATGCCGGACCTGGTTCCAGCTGATTCCAAACCCCAATCTAAACCGGAGCCAGCCAAGGCCCCCGAGCCCGAGCCTGAGCCAGAAGTGGACGAGGAAGAGCTCGCAAAGAAAAAGGCAAAGGAAGAGGCTGACAAGGAGAAGGCATTGGGTACTGAAAACTACAAGAAGCGTAACTTTGACGAGGCTATAAAGCACTACACTAAGGCTTGGGAATTGCACAAGGACATAACCTACCTCAACAACCTCGGCGCCGCTCAATTCGAAAAGGGAGATTACCAAGCCTGCATCGAGGCTTGCACTAAGGCTATCGAAGAAGGTCGCGAGATTTATGCCGACTTCAAGACGATCGCCAAGTCATACGCGCGCATTGGTACGGCCTACGAGAAGCTAGGAGACCTTGCAGCGGCGGTTGAAAATTACCAGAAGTCTCTGACCGAGCACCGAACACCCGATACTGTAAATAAGCTCCGCGCTGCTGAGCGTAGAAGGATCGAGGAAGCTAAGAAGGCTTACATCGACCCGGAGAAGGCCGAAGAAGCTCGTGAGGAAGGTAATAAGAAGTTCAAGGAGCAAGATTTCCCCGGCGCCGTTGCGGCTTACTCGGAGATGATCAAGCGTGCTCCGGATGATCCTCGTGGATATAGCAACCGCGCCGCCGCCTTTATCAAGCTGTTCGAGTTTCCAAGCGCCCTTGAGGACTGCAACACGGCTATCAAGAAGGACCCCAAGTTCATTAGGGCGTATATTCGCAAGGCGCAAATTTACTTCGGCATGCGCGATTACTCCAAGTGTATCGACGCTTGCAACGAGGCTGCCGTGGTAGATAGCGAGCATTACAACAACGCCAACGCGCGAGAGATCGAGCAGCAGCAGCAGAAGGCTCTTCAGGCTATGTACTCTGCCCGAGAGAATGAGACAGAGGATCAGACTCGGGAGAGATTGATGAAAGACCCTGAGGTAAGTACCGAATGCACCCCCATCGTTTCGAACAGAATAGGAACGGCTAACCCGCTCGCTGTAGATTATGACCATCATGCAAGACCCTGTCATGCAATCTATCCTCCAGCAAGCCCAGTCCGATCCCGCGGCGCTGCAGGAGCACATGCGCAACCCGAACGTTCGTTCTAACATCCAGAAGCTGATTGCGGCCGGTGTAATTCGAGTTGGACGATGAGCGTTAGCGTAGCGGATGTCTTATTTTTCTACTTAGGCTACTTTATCTCATTAATTTCCACAATGGTTAGGTTGGTGGTTCGTGAGCTGTAGTAGCATGTAAGGGCATTGCGGAGCCGTAGGTATTCATGGTAATTGCAATTCATGATATTGGCGTTGAAAAATGCAAAGGGTGGACTAGGGAATGAGGGTAAATGAATTTACGCTAATCAACGATTCCAACATCTTTATAGCTCTCACCAAGCTTCGTTGCTTTATAATTTCGTGGTGTGTTACGGTTCCTTGAGGATGAATGCCTTCATTTGACGATATTCGTAAACATTACTTCGGATAACGTCGACTTTAGTACGTCCGTTTGTATGAAGATATATTAATCATACGATGCAAATGGTCCTTCATCATACATACATACATTCCACTTCATATATATTAAACCTCAACCCCGCGTTGTTATCTATTCCGGAAGTCCGCTTCTGCTATCCTGACAGGATATTTCTGCACCCTAACTTAGTCCTCTAATATTACACTGATTTCATTCGTATCGATTCCGTAGGGCTTAACCATGACAACCAGTGGCGCCTTTACCACCATCGAAGCTGGCCACACTGCCACCCCTTTTACCGTGAATAACATTAGCGTCCAGTGCTTAGGTAGCATTGGCCCCCGTGAAGCCTTAAGATGTCTGTCCTACTCACCGAGGGTCTATTTGCTCCCATTGCAGTATGAAGAACCCTATGAAAGCGCCGAGGATGATGCAGATGATTATATATCCGTTGTAGTACATAGCAAGCAACATGATCCAGTAAGCTAGCGCAAAATGAAGCGTATGCAGCAAAGCGCGGATGGCCTGTTGCCAGAGCTTAGGCCTGAACGGCGTGGCGCGGACGAGGGCCGCAGTAGTGCCTTCTTTTGCTATGAGAGCCCCGTTGGCCGTGTCCGAGGAGTTGTTCACGGTCGTCGCGGCGAGGGCGCTCGTAGTCTTTATGTGCTGGCGGATCAAGTGTTGGTCGTAGATCCTAGACGCGCGGCGGAGAAACTCGAGCAGGATCACGAGCAGCGCGACGCCGATGCATAGGCCTGCGAATCCACCGCGGGACTTGACGTGCCAGGATTCCGAGAGGAAGCATGTGTCGATCGTGTCCCAGTTCCAAAGCATCTGACGCTCATTCGTCTGTTAGCGGGGTTGAACGGACTAGGTGAGGTATACACAACTCGGCGTATTGGAAGTGAATATCTCACAGAGATCTTACATTCCCCCATTTGCGATTTCCTGTCCCCCATACCCCCCATGTTATCTGCACCTCCTGTGCTTGCCGTAGAAGTCGGCATTATAGAGTCAAGCGTTGATTGTACTGTAGATGATGAGACCGAAGCCGAAGACTCTACAGATGATGGCATAGGCATCCCGTCCATTTTCGCTGGTGGCTAGTAAGAATAGGTTAGGTAGGTAGTATTATCAAGATGAACCTGGCGTATATAAAACGTTAATGATTAGGATGTAGTTTAGGTAATTAATTACCTCCCAAGAAAAATTAAACCAGCCACAAGGATTGTCTAAACCCATATTCAACCCTTTGTCGCCGATACTCGACTTGTCCTCGACACTCGACGATCGCCATAGGCAACAAAGGGGCTGATCCGCCGTAAGTAACGTATCCAACGTACTGAAACTCTCTAATACGTTGGGACAAAAAGCATTTGCCTCCTTATTGCGTAGGGAGTCGGGAGTCGGGCATTAGATAAAAGAATCGAAACGTCAACTGGGTAAAAGGCAATTATCTGCCCTGGCAAAACGCAAAAATCTCGCATGAAGTTACCTCATGTTTTATGATATGTATTATACACAAAGACGGTGTACTCCACAATCGTTACAATACCCTGCTTATAGCAAATGAGAAGATGCTAGGTATACTGGGTTTCTTAGTCCTCAGATTGCTCCAATGCGTGGCGCCGTTTTACCAATTACTTGAAGAAATCATTCTATGCCGTGCTTTCTAAGCCGATCCACAAGACCTGATAGTGAGTGTGCTTATTGTATACAAATCTGGGTATAAGGGGTATTGTTACTCCATACGTCACACATCATCAACTCGGGAACTCGTGAAGCTAGCTAGCTCTACGGGGGCTCCAGACCATCCATCACAACCGTACCGTAGTCACCCGGCCCGTCAAAGAAATTCTGATCCATGCCCGGTCCCTCGAAGAAGTCGCTCGCCCACCAAGCGCCGGGACTCCACTCCTCGAGCGAAAATTGGGTAGAAACATTCATTCCCGAAGGCATAGGAGGCCAATTCCCTCCCATACCATTACCATTACCGTTGCCGAGGTCAACCTCTCCGGCCATGTTAGCATTTGATGATACCTCAGGTCGACGACCCTCGCCACCTACGGCGGCTACCATCTCGGCCCATTTCTCCAGCTTAGCGCGAGTGCTCTTGAGTTTCCTCGCGGCCATGTCCCATATATCATTCTCGCAAGGTAAGCCCGTCTTTTTTTCGCAGGCCTCTCGTGCCTGTTCGCATCGCGTTACCATACCTTGCAAGATACCAATGGCATCTATCCGGAGCTCGGACTGAGAGAGTAGGTGAGACCTAATAGTACGTACTGCGGCGGGAATTGCGGGATCTAGATCTATGTCTTTGACCCCGACCGTCGGTGCGGAGACCAGTGCCGCACCGCTGCAACCTGGATCGCTTCGTACCGTCTGTGGCAATACAGAGCCCGTCGCCGTGGTCGGGGTAGACGTAAAACTGCGGTCGGGACTTGTTAACTTGGACCAGCGGACCAGCATTATCACAGAATTGACGAGCTGAGCGGAGATGGGCATAGGTAAGACAAAATAATCCGCGATGTCAATAGCTAGCCAAGCGTCGAACCAGGCCTTGAGCGCGGTGCCGGATCGATAAAATACATCGAGCGAAGAAGCAGAGTCTAGAGTTAGAGACGATAATGAGTTCGATATCTTTTCGAGGAGTGAAGCATCAATCCGCGGTGGTTCCCACAAGCGTAAAGATGCCGTATTGATATGGCACATGAGCAGCTCTATCTTTCAGTTAATATCACGATTTCCGAAAGTATCAGTATCATGGAAGGTAAACTAACTGTTTGATAAAAGATGGCGAGGTAGCGATGCCTTGAAATTTTCTATCTCGGCGTGAAACACGCTGGAATATGCACTCATAGGGGCACGGGTGATACCAGCCAACTCGCTCTCGTCGTGGTCTTTTGCGTGCAGTTGAGAAATACGCTCAGACATGTGCTGGATCCGCACTAGATGGACGAGGAGCGAGTCAGTTCCGTACTCCTGGTCGGCCTCGAGCTCTCGAAGACATTGATCTATATACGGCGTGTATTTTGGCGACTCAATTCGTTGAAATGAGAGGAAGACACTGTTGCGTGTAAGCATGATTGAGTTAGGTACATCAGAGAAATGCGTCTTGCCCGCAACCTCTCCGAGTTGCTGGGTCAAGCAAGTCTCAAGAGTAGCTGTTCGTTTTGACTTACACCGAGGTCATATACCAGACTCCGCAGAGTGCCCTCCTCTCGTCGTTCACCCTGGTTTTCGGGGCTTCAGGAGCTGAAATTAAAAGTTTCGTCCTTTCTTGTATTTCGGGAGGCTTGTTGATGCCGAGATCCGCTACTAAACTGTTTGCTAGTGCGATCAAGTTGTTCATCTGAGCGTGCATTATACAGTGGTAGTGATAATATCCCACGACCAGCAGAATCGATTGGAGTATTTCCAAAGACCGCTCTGAACGCATAAGCATCTGCTCTGATATGTGTTTCATAATGAAGTAGTTCTGTGACCTCAGCGAACTTAGGTTACGATAAGACGCGATCATTCGGACCGTGGCGAAGAGGAAAGGATATTTTAATGCCAATTCCGAGGCCGTGAAACCTGGTGGAAGTACGACGAATGGGAAATTAGGGACAAGCTCGTCAACGAATATCGACAATAAGACCTCATCGGACTCAAGCGAGGCAGGGCTCTCGCCGGCCTGAGTGCGGCAGACACATACACGAGGGGCATGTTCATTGTAATAATCAGGAATTGCAGGCGGCTGTCTATAATCTGAGCCTGAAGATTGACTCGGAGAATTGGTGCTAACTCGCTTTCGGCTCTGTATTGGCGCCGCATCTGCGGTCGCCTCTGGGGACGACGTAGACGTAATAGAGTTGGCTCCAGAAACCTGCCTTAACGGAACAGGGAGGTCTCCTGAATTGGTAGCTTTGATAAAATCGACGAGGCTATTGAGTCTCTCCTCGAGCTGTGCTGTCTTTCTAGAGTAAAAGATAGACTGTTAGCTTTTGTCTTTTACGTGTGGGTTAGCTCAAAGACCTGTCTGACACTGGCGATGATCGAAGAAGGCAGTAGGAAATGACTATTCCGACGATATAATATATACTATCACCCCAAGAAGCGGTTATAAATTTCTAGGAATAAAAGACTGCTTACGAGGGCCTGCTCTGCCGCTTTTTTCTCGGCTTATGTACCTGACTGGTACAATCTTTATCTAAACGTTCACATCTATATCCTCCAATCTACCATTAGTAAACTGACTAACATGAGGGTACACCAACACAAAGCTCTAGCCCTACGCTTAGAAGGCGATTATATGTACGATAGAAGATACGCACCTATCACATCTAACGCCCGACCTGTTGCTTGAGCGCAAACATTTAGCCTTTGCGAGAGCACATGGCGAACACGCAGCTCCCCATTTGGCGATAGCGGAATTCTTTGGTTTATCCATTAGTTAGTGCCGCAAAAAACAAGATAACATATTAGATGATAGAGGTTTCAATCGCCGGCGGACTTTCCAAGTGTAAACCGCAAGCCGTGATGAGATAACAGTGTTCGAGGATGGCCTTCGGGTATGGGATGGTTCCAAGGAGAGGACGGAGATTAAAGATATTCTCCAGCTTCCGGTCTCCACATACGACCCAAGATGTTCTTGATACTAAGCTCATGTTAGTCGAGATACCCTAAATTAGCACTGACAGACTAACATAAATGTGAGAGGAATAGGTATATGCGACCTATAACAATGCACTGCCTGACACGGACTTTTAGGGAAAAGGCCGGTTCGCCGAAATGCATGATTCGCCTTCAGTCAGTCATTACAACATCGTACCCCGGCGCCCTCAAGCGGTTATCGGTTGCCTTAAATGCTTACCTTATAATCTTTATTATTCGTGAAAAGTAAATCGTATAAATTGTTTTTAAGATGTCCCGATACGACTTCTCAGAGCTGCATCTCGAGGCTGATATATCTCGGCCAGGGGTGGCCAGCTAGGTAATCTAGGGACTAGTTAACGACGACTTACACGGACTTTGCTCAGTCCTTTAACGATGAACGACCAACAACCGGTCAAAACCAGTTCGGATACTGGAGATGTAGAATCCGCGATAAAAGTCGACAGTCCCAAACTCGAATCCGACAAAATTAGCAACAGGGGACGCAGCCCTGACGACGTTGGCGTAGTTCTCCAAAATGACGACCAAACCGGAAGCGGGAGTATTAGCCCTCCGCAAATGACCGGATTACCCTACTACGTGGCGATGGGATCCGTTACCCTAGGTGTTCTCTTGATGGCTCTCAATAATACAGCTTTAGGAACCGTGAGGGAGACGCTGCGACATTCTTTTGGTGATGTATGTGCTGACACTTCTACTAGGCCATCCCCGCAATCACGGCGGAGTTTAATACCGTAGATGATGTTGGGTGGTATTCTTCTGCGTCTCTAATAGCAAAGTAAGTTATAAATCGGGAGTATATGGCGTTTGACAGTACGAGGCTGACAAGTCCGGCGAAGTTGTGTCATGGTACCGTTCGTTGGGAAGATATATAGGGGCTTCCGGATCAAGCTCGTATTTATTACCTTCATAGTCATCTTCGAGATTGGGTCCTTGGTTGCAGCTCTATCGACGTCTTCCATGATGCTCGTCATCGCTAGAGCGATAAGCGGTATAGGGGGTTCCGGGATTCTCAACGGTAGTTCTACCATCGTCGCCGCCACCGTCCCGATAGCGAAACGGTCGTTTCTAAACGGCATCATACTTGGCTGTTTTGCCGTGGGCCAGGCAGCGGGCCCTCTCATCGGCGGGGCTTTGACCCAGGGGTTAACGTGGCGTTGGTGCTTCTACATGTAAGTCGGTTGTCGCCATTTCGGCATAAATACTCGAGCTGACCCTTCTTAGCAATTTGCCCCTGGGTGGCCTGGTCGTTTTCCTGTTCGTATTCGTAGTCAAGTTACCTGTAACAAGGCTCTCAGAAAAGAATACTTCTCTCCTGGAGCGGGTTCTTGATCTCGATTTTGTCGGCTTTACCATCTTTGCCGCAGCGGCTATAATGCTCCTGATCGGTCTGCAATGGGGCGGCACCAAATACCCCTGGAATTCGCCGACCGTCATTGGACTTATGTGCGGCGGAGTGGTAGCCTTCGTAGCCGTCGGATTCTGGTTCGCTTACAAGGGAGACTCGGCCTTGCTGCCGCCCAGGTTACTTCGCAGCCGCGTTAGCATCATGATCACCATCACCTCGTTCATGCAAAGCGGCGGGTCCGTCAATTCTTTATATTGGCTGCCAGTCTGGTTCCAGGCGATCAGAGGCGCAGACGCTCTGCAGAGTGGTATAATGCTTCTTCCTATAATACTGGCGCAGCTCTTCGCATCCGTGGTATGCGGAGCTCTCGTTCAGAGGACGGGCTATTACCTTCCGGAAGTCGTTGGGGGAAACGCGCTGGTGGCGATCGGAGCTGGTTTGACCTCGACATTTTCTTTAGCCACTACCGATGGGGAAATTATAGGATATCAGATCCTCATGGGAGCAGGTCGTGGTTTTGTCTTACAACTGGTGTGTAATGACATCCGTCTAACATCCGTCTTTTTATAGTGCTAGGGAAAACTGACGATTGCATTAAATTTAGCTTGTCCTTGCTATGCAGGCGAACGTGCCGAGAGAAGACGCTTCGATAGCATCTGCCTACGCTATGTTCTCTCAGTTACTTGGGGGCGCCATCTTTTCGGCTGTCGCGAAGACCGTCTTCACCAGTTCTATAGGAACAGCTCTTCAAGAGTTTGCTCCCGACGTCGATCCGAGCTTACTGATTAACACCGGCGCGACTGAGATAACTAAAGTTATCCCCCCGAGCCAGGTAAACGGTGCTCTCCTAGCATACAATCAAGCCATTACCTATATATTTGTAAGAACACTCACTCTCGCGCGATATCATTATGACTGACACATATATTAGTATCTTCAACTCGCTGCCGCAAGTTGTGCTTTTCTAACCGGCTGGGGAATGGGATGGAAAAATTTAAAGGAGGTAAAACAAGAGAAAGAAGTTGTAGAAAAGGATGACGCTTGAGTGGTGATATGAGGCTCTGGTATAAGATACCCATTGATGATAGAGTATGGAAGGTTTAACGACGGATAGACTAATTATATAGAATTATAGATACCACTTTTACTGAATAATTTAATCAGCCGATAAGGTCCTAGAAACCTTAATTACCCTACTTGGTGAGACATATAGGCAGTACTACCTAACTGATCAGGTGTATAGGTACCTGGTAATGTTTAAGCAACGCTATAAGACACCGCTAGCAAGTTTCCTCTTGGATCGTCAAATTACCTAATGTACTTGAGCTCTCAGAAGGGGATCAGAGTCAAAATACCTAACATAACATATACCCTTCGTTACTATAAATGGTCTAGACTTGCCTAAAATTGGGCATAAAATCGCCAAGTCTGCACTGCTACTATGTATTATTATTCAATTGGATAATCGACAAGGGGGTCTCGCTAAGAAGCTAGGTTACCTACATACCTACGTCCTACGTAGTAGAAGCTTAATCTCGCCACGGGGTCAATAACAACATTAAAGGCAAAGAGGAAAAGGGTATAAAGATTTAACTCGCCAGATTAATATAAGTACTAGGTACCTAATGGATGAGTACGACTTCATCATTGTCGGCGCCGGGCTCTCTGGAGTCGACGCCGCTTACCGCCTGAAGACTCAGCTGCCAGACTGCTCTTACACCATTCTGGAAGCACGGAACGAGGTCGGCGGCACTTGGTCATTCTTCAAGTTCCCTGGTATCCGGTCGGACTCCCAACTTACGTTGTTCGGCCTTCCGTGGCGACCGTGGATACACGATACGGATATGGCCAAAGCGCATCTCATCAGGGAATATATAGAGGACGCTGCACGGGCTGAAGGTATCGACGAGAAGATCCAGTTCAAGCACCGGGTAACCGGTATCAGTTGGTCTTCGGAGGAACAGCGGTGGACTCTGGCAGTTGACGCGGACGGCCTCGCAAAGGAATATAAGGCTAAATTCTTGATCACCTGCTCGGGGTATTATGATTACGCCAACCCGCTCAAGGCCGAAATACCTGGCATCGAGAACTTCGAGGGCACGGTCGCGCACCCTCAGTTCTGGCCCGAGGACCTCGATTATGCTAATAAGAAAGTCGTTATCATCGGGTCTGGCGCTACCGCTATCACTATGCTGCCCGCTATGGCCGAGACGGCGGGCCACGTTACGATGCTTCAAAGGAGCCCATCCTACGTTATTAGCCTGCCCCTATCGGACCCGATTGGGAGGTGGACTAGAAAGCTTTTCCCGGAGAGGATTGCTCATTCGCTCAACTGGTGGCGGTCTGTATGCCTGATATATATTCTTTTCCCCAGCTACACCAACTAATGCTCTGCAGATGTTTTATAGAGGAACATGTCTTTGTTTACTTTTGCCTCACCTTCCCCACTCTAGCAAGGAAGCTCGTCGTACGCGATATGAAGAAACAATTACCCGACGACGTTGATGTAAACGTTCATTTCAACCCCAAGTACAACTTATTCGAACAGCGAGTAGGGCTATGTCCAGATGGTGACTTCTTCCGAGCTCTACACCGAGATAACTGCGACATCGTCACCGACCATATCGAGACTGTCACGGCAGACGGCATTCTTACCAAGTCGGGGAAGAAGCTCGACGCAGACATTATCGTGACGGCCACGGGTCTTCGTAAGCATCGCGTTTTCTAGTGCCCTACCTACTAAACAATTCTCCCCAAGCACTAGGATATCTCTCCCATTTCACATGTTCGATCAGTTATAGAATAGCTAACCTGGAGAATATCAGATGTCCACCTCTTTGGAGGTATCACTCCGATCGTTGACGGGCGGCCTGTGGATATTGGAACTTGCTATGCTTGGAGAGGGGTCATGATTACTGGTGTACCAAATTCCGGAGCCGTGATAGGGTATACGATAAGTTCCTGGACGCTCGGCGCTGATAGCAGTATCAAGCTGCTCATCAAAGTATGGAAGCATATGCAGAAGACTGGCGCTACGTCAGTTGTGCCGGTCAACGCTCAATCCGACCTCGCCTCGTCTAAGCCGGTCGTAGGACACAGCTCGACCTACTTTGTCATGGCACAGGACAGGTTACCTAGGATCACGGGTACATCTCCGGTAAACCTCATCTCATAACAATCCTACTTCTTTACTCGTCAGTACTGATTTTTTTTGGTATAGTGGTATGGACGCACGAATAGCATATATGACCACCTAAAGCTGTGGTTTGGTAGTGTTACCAAGGGGCTACAGTACACGTATCCATCAAAGAAGAACGACTGAGCGGTATCCTCTTGTGATATGTAGGTAGGTAGCTTTCAAGGCTGGCAGAGGCACTTAAATAGAGTTTATACCAGAGGCGAATAATTATTATATAGGAGGTAACTATATAGGAGAAGCTCCCCACAAGCACCATCCAAAATATATATTGTTGGAGGGCTGGAGGGGTAGTACAGTTTATCTTATCGGATCTTGCATGTCATCATTTGGCATTGTCTTAACTAAAACTTTGTGTTTGCAAGACTTTGATTTTTATTACCAGGTAATCATTTAAAAAGTTTAACTAGTATTATTCAGAGCCTACCTTAGCTATCCCTACCGTCGAATAGAACAGACTCCAAATATGGCCAACTTTAGGCCCGCATTGATAGTGGTAGATCTCCAAGAGGACTTCTGTCCTCCGGTAAGTATACCTACCTGGTTACTCCCTGGTTACTACCTTGTTAAGTTAGGAGGTAGTTTTGCGGCTGCTGGTAGCCAGCTGACTAACAACAACGACCAGAACGGTTCTCTCGCAGTCACCAATGGTCGCGATATCGCGCCACTGGTCAATAAACTTCTAGCTTTCCCTTTCGTGATCACGATCGCGACTAAGGACTGGCACCCGCATGATCACGTTTCGTTTGCGGCAAACCACCAAGGCAAAGCCCCGTTTGAGGACTTCATTACGATCGTGAATCCATATAACGAGGCCGAGACTTATGAGTCGCGACTGTGGCCGGTTCACTGCGTACAAGGTAGCCCGGGAGCAGAGTTGATCCCTGAGCTTCTTACCAGTCGGCTCGACATGATTCTCGAGAAGGGAACTGATGCGCGCGTCGAGATGTACAGCCCATTCTATGATCCCTTTAAGTCTCCACGAGTTTACGATAGTGGCCTCGTACAGATTCTGAAGGAGAAGCAGGTTACAGACGTGTATGTGGTGGGGCTAGCAGCGGACTATTGCGTCAAGAACGCGGCGATCGATGCGGCGAAAGAAGGCTTCAAGACCTACTTGATAGAGGAATGCACGAGAGCCGTCGATCCTTCTGCATGGTCGGAATGCAAGAAAGAAATTGAGACATCCGGGGCTAAAGTTGTTAGCATGGACGGACCTGAAGTAAGCCGGCTGATGACGGCGCAGTAACAGGGTAAAGCTGAAGGGTTGCTACATGACACGGGCGACGGCTTCTATCCTGCAGGAATAGGGTATCCAGCGATGTATGTAGAAGTACGGATCCGTAGCAATTACTATAATTCTCCCTGTTTATTGACGTAGATCCCCGTCGTACGGACGCTAGACAACGAGGCGGCCGGTGGCGGACTGAAATAAGCCCGTTAGACTATGCATGGGGTATGATTGTCTTCTCCGGTGGCTTTCTACGCGGGGGTTTGATATGCGATGGATGGTAGCACGAGGGACGATAAAGAATAGTCGTCATGTGTCTCAGTTTCGCCGTGTTGGTTTGAGACTGTCATGTTGTACAGAAACATATAGTATCAACGGCCAATTGCTAAGGCCGACTTTGTGGTTCGTGCTAACGAAGCATGGTTGTCACAACTTGCTTGAGTTAGGTTAGATACCTAACGTAACCTATCTCTGCACGGTCTCTTCTACCGAGACTGTATTAGGCACTTAAGAGGCTAAAGCTCTATGTACCTAAGTTGGTTCTTTCGCTGGTTGTTTTATCGAGTGACTTCCTCGTAGCGTTAAGTGTGCTTGGGTTTATTCGTGCCGAAAAGCAAATGGTGGGAGGCCTCGTTTCCTCTTTTAGTAAGTAATGGCCGTGATGGTGATAGCGATTGATGTGATGAGTGGATTATGTTAAGTTGGTTGTACACGTAACTAATGTAATTTAACCACATCCTAAAGTTATTGCTTTTTGAACTTACATACTCTTAATATGTATTTAACGATATTAGGTAGCTTTGCTAGGGGTTTGTTGACATGTCCGAATTTTATCTTGTAATATGTATCTCAACCCTGGCTGTTGAGTTGTCAAGGTATCCATAGGGTGTTGTTGCTGTGGACTTACACACTGCCCCTTTGGCCATGCTGTACTGTAAGGTATTCTATTCCGTCCTCTTCCATCCAATGCTCTTCCGCGTACGGAATATAAGTGAAGGGATGGCGTTGGCGAGGTGGGTGAGATACATAGGTGGCTTGATTATCGGTCTTTTTAGGAGCTGTGCGTACCCGGAGTTTTGGAATAGTTGCCAATTGAAGAAAAGAAGTACGCTTATCAGTAGAGTTAGAACGAAACCTGGCTGGTAAATACTTAGGTCCATGCATGATATCATGTAGTTATGAAGTACATACAGCAAGGGGATGAGAATTGAAGTAAACAAAATGGAGTTAAGCTCCCGAATATTGTGTAAGTGATTGTATAAGTGATAGAGCGGTAGGATAAACTTGTGGAGTTCCCACGTTTTTTCGACTCCGATATTGCACCTCAGGTACCTGGAAGGTACGTACATAAATAGGTAACTTTTTAGTACCTTATGAGGTAATTAGTACCTAACTAGTACCTAATCGATAGCAGGCCGGTGCTCATAGTGGGACCTGTATGGGTCCCCTAATTTTGTGATTGCAACTGATTGAAAGGAAAGATTCTAAGCCAAGGCTGCCAGGGGACGGGAAGAGCTAGAGAAGGAAACCTTGAAATTTCTCTCTTCACCGCACCGATAATAAATCTCCACTAACCCCCCCTTGACTTACAATTATTCTTCCAACATTTCTTCGTCGAACTATTCTTTGTTCGTGGTCCCTACGGTTGAGAATTTCAGCACGCCTGCTGATTTATTTTCACTGTTGTCGTTGTCGTTGGCACTGACATTGGCATTAACATTGGCATTGATGTCAATGCGTTCCTAAGGTTTCCTAGGGAAACTCATCGTCGTTTCGTTTCGTTGACTCCAATTCTGTCACTAAACTAAATATCAACAACCCTCCAAGTCCAACTTTGGGGTAGCCCACCTTTCACTTCTCCCTTCTCGCTCCTCGCATCTCACCTCAACAGCTTAACGACATTTTTAACACGGTCTTCCCTATAACTACCTAGACAGCTTGAGGCAATTATATAATTAATTGCTATATAAAATACGAGAAAAGAGCATAATATTAGGTTCGTCTCATCCTCCTTACCTAAGACTAAACATCCCGGTTACGAGACACTGTATAGACAACATAGGTAGAACTTCACAACTAATCTATACCTTAGGAGGGATAAGCAATAGTTGTTCAGCGATCATCGCCAAATGCCTTCGCGGTAGTACTAACATGATTGCTTCTTCCTTTCTTCCCTCCCGCTTTCGCGGTGAGCAACCACCAACCGATACACCAAACCCACCGTCCAAGACGAACCAGAGAGTCACACCGATCCTCCAGTTTTTCTCTAAGATCGCTTGCCTGCACCCGATCCATACCATCGTTATCGTTTCTTTAATAGCTAGCACCACCTACGTCGGCGTCGTTAAGGAGAGCCTCTTAGATGTGACTAGAAGTGCGAGGACGGCCGATTGGCCTTCACTAATCGAGGGCAGCAGAAGCTTGCAGGCCGGCCCCGAAACTTCATGGCGGTGGCAAAGCTTCGACTCCGATTCAACTATCCCAAAAGATGCCGATCACTTGGCCCTTGTTACTCTGGTCTTTCCGGAGTCATCTGAAGATGCGCCCCAGACTGCACCGTTGCCTCATATCGTCCCTCTCCCACAGAATCTGAGCATCTCGCATCTGCCGTCTACCTCGAACTCCTTAAGTGCCTACTCCCAGGACAGCGCTTTGGCATTCGCCGTCAAGTATAGCGAGGCCGCGGAGTTCCTTGCAGCAGCACAGGAGATCCCCAACGATGTTCCTGGTCAAGAATCGCGCGAAACCGAGTTAGGCAAGGAGGAGCAGAAGATGTGGATAATGAAAGTCGCCAAGGGTTACACTAGAGGAAGTATAGTACGATGGATTCACAATGCCTGGACCGAGTTTCTCGACTTGATAAAGAACGCTGAGACGCTAGATATCATCATTATGGTCCTGGGATATCTGTCTATGCACTTAACTTTCGTATCGCTGTTCTTATCCATGAGAAAGATGGGGTCGAACGTCTGGCTAGCCATCAGCGTGCTTTTCTCGTCGACTTTTGCCTTTCTATTCGGTCTTAACGTTACCACTAAGCTTGGCGTTCCGATCAGCATGGTCTTACTATCCGAAGGGTTACCCTTCCTGGTTGTTACTATCGGTTTCGAGAAGAATATCGCGCTAACCCGGGCTGTCCTGTCTCACGCGCTGGAGCACCGCAGGCCCGAAGAGAAGCAGACCAACGGTGGTAAATCTGCCAAGTTCTTGACTCCCTCGGATGGTATTATCCACTACGCCGTACAGCGCGCAATCAAGGATAAGGGTTACGAGATTGTCCGTGATTATGTCATAGAGATTCTGATTCTCGTTGCCGGAGCCGCCTCGGGCGTGCAAGGCGGCCTCCAACAGTTCTGCTTCTTGGCAGCCTGGATACTCTTCTTCGACTGCATCCTGCTCTTCACCTTCTATACCGCTATTCTATGTATTAAACTTGAAGTAAACCGCATCAGGCGCCACGTGGAGCTGCGGCGGGCCTTGGAAGACGACGGTATCAGTCGCCGCGTCGCTGAGAATGTTGCTAAGAATAATGACTGGCCTAGGAGTGACGCCAAGGGCCAGGCTGATGTGCCTCTCTTCGGTAGTGACCTCAGGAGTAACAGCGTCCCGAAATTTAAGTTCTGGATGGTTATGGGGTTTATTGCTATCAATGTCGCCAACCTCTGTACGATCCCTTTTAGGACCACGGAGATTTCCAACATCTCTTCGTGGGCTACGGGCCTGGGAGGTGTCGTTAGTTCACCGCCTCTCGATCCCTTCAAAGTTGCGTCCAACGGGCTTGACGAGATACTTTACAACGCGAAGAATCACTCTAAGCCGACTGTTGTTTCTGTCTTGACTCCCATCAAGTACGAATTAGAATTTCCTTCCATCCACTATGCGGAGGCACCCCTACCCGTGAACAACGGGCACAATGGTAAACGGGACAGCTATCCTCAACTCAACGGCTATGGGGTAGGTGGACGCATGGTTGGTAGCCTTCTTACCAGTCTAGAAGACCCGATCCTCTCGAAATGGATCGTGGTTGCTCTAGCCATGAGCGTTGCACTTAATGGTTATCTATTCAACGTGGCCAGATGGGGTATCAGGGATCCGAACTTGCCGGACCATCCTATAGACCCGAAGGAGCTCGCAGAAGCCGAGCGATTCAACGATACGCAGTCCGCAACGCTGCCCCTCGGCGAGATCCTACCGAAGCAGTCGCAGTCGCAGTCAATGCCTGAGAGTGAGAGACCTATCACTCCCGCTTATACCGATGATGAGAGTATCAGCCTGCCTCCCCCAGCTACCCGGTCAGCGTCACTAGCGGCTCAGAGGACACAGACCGAGCTAGACAGGATATTATCCGAGAAGAGGGCACACGAACTAACTGATGAGGAGATTGTTGCTGTATCGCTGAAAGGCAAGATCCCTGGTTATGCATTGGAGAAGACCCTCAAGGATTGCACGCGGGCTGTGAAAGTTCGTCGAAGTATCATCGCAAGGACCAGAGCGACGGCAGACCTTACAGGCTTATTAGACCAGTCCAAGTTGCCATACGAGAACTACAACTGGGAGCAAGTGCTTGGTGCCTGCTGTGAGAACGTTATTGGTTATATGCCTATTCCCGTCGGTGTAGCCGGACCGCTCGTCATCGACGGTAAAAGCTACTTTATTCCTATGGCGACTACTGAAGGTGTGCTCGTCGCTAGTACAAGTCGCGGCTGCAAGGCTATCAACTCTGGCGGAGGTGCCATTACGGTTTTGACGAGCGATGGAATGACTCGAGGACCATGCGTACAATTCGAGACTCTCGAACGTGCCGGCGCTGCGAAGCTCTGGATCGATTCCGAGGCAGGTCAGGCTGTGATGAAGAAGGCATTCGATTCAACTTCGAGGTTCGCTCGATTGCAGACGATGAAGACGGCCCTTGCTGGAACCAATCTCTTCATCCGGTTCAAGACGACGACCGGCGACGCCATGGGGATGAACATGATCTCCAAGGGTGTTGAACACGCATTGAATGTTATGGCTACCGAGGGCGGGTTTAGCGATATGTCTATCGTGTCGCTGTCTGGAAACTACTGTATCGATAAGAAGGCTTCCGCAATCAACTGGATCGATGGCCGAGGTAAGGGTGTTGTCGCCGAAGCCATCATCCCAGGCGACGTAGTCAAGGCGGTACTGAAAAGCGACGTGGATAGTCTCGTCGAGCTTAACATCGCAAAGAACTTTATCGGGTCTGCTATGGCTGGTGCGATGGGCGGTTTCAATGCTCACGCAGCCAACATAGTGGCGGCCGTTTTCATCGCTACCGGACAGGACCCGGCGCAAGTCATAGAGAGTTCGAATTGTATCACCATCATGAAAAAGTAAGTCCATCATCGTATTCGTCTTATTATCACTTCTCAAACTAACTTGCCCAACAGCCTACGCGGGTCTCTTCAAATCTCGGTCTCTATGCCGTCGATTGAAGTTGGCACGATCGGCGGCGGCACTATCTTGGAGCCTCAGAGCGCCATGCTCGACATGCTTGGTGTTAGGGGACCTCACCCGACAAACCCTGGAGACAATGCGGCGCGTCTAGCTCGTATAGTTGGCGCGGCAGTCCTTGCGGGAGAGCTTTCCCTCTGCAGTGCTCTCGCTGCCGGCCATCTAGTCAAGGCGCACATGGCGCACAACCGTTCGGCTCCCCCAACCCGGAGTACCACGCCGGCCCCAGTTGCCAGTGGTGCAATGACACCTGTTGGATTAACTATGACGAGCTCAAAGAGTTCTGCAGCTCTTGATCGGGCTGCGGCATCGAGACGTTAAATGATAGCCCATCCGTTTCGTATGATTAATCAATTTACGGGGTATTGGAGGTTTTTTAAAGAAGATGCGCTCCTTAGAGAGCATAATGATGCATCGAGCTAGGCGTTCAGCGAAGTTACGTTTAGGTATATGTGTCTTGCAAAATATGAGATGTCATGCGGATGGGTGGTTGACAGAGGCATTCAACCAAGTTACCTAATTAGGGCGCCGTGTTCTACGAAGTTTAGATTCTCTTTTACTCGGCCAGGAAAAGAGAGATGACGGATGGAGATGACCAGCTAGGCAATGCGGCACCAGCAAGTCACTGCCTACACGAGGTCGGCACGGGTTAAAAAAAGAAAAAGTAAGAAGCTCTCAGCTATAGACACCTAGAAAGATGGAGGGAATAGACACGCGTGCTACTCTGACGTTCTTGAACGGATTCCCCGCGGCAAAACGTTAGGAGTATTACTATCCCCTATTTTTGCTTAGTATATAATATATATTCCGTCAATAGACAAGACTAATATCTCACGTATACGGTTATTATTGCCATTCTGATAGCAGCACTGCAGTCCATTATCATCTTTACCTCTTATCTCTTACCAGCATTCACGGTATTATCTCGTAACCTTTTCATTTCTTAGTATCCCCCTTCGGGCTTCGCAAATCCGAGCGCCTTACGTAGAGCAGTCAATTACAATCTTCCCCCTAGCGCGTCCCGTCCTCAGCTTCTCGAAGGCCTTGGGCACGTCCTCGTACGGGAACACTTCGTCTATGACAGCCTTGACCTTCCCTTCGCTCATCCATCTGGCGATCTGCTCCAGGTCGGCGTGGCTATTGTTCGTAACGAGATACTGCCACTTTCTCTTGCCGCCGCCCAGGAAAGAAGGTAGAAACCCCCTCGATAGAAGGGTGGCGAAATTCGATACGGTAAACTCGCCGCCGATCTGCACGAAGATCCCGTCGGGCAGCAGGAACTGGTCGGCTGCTCGGTGCAGATCGGCCGGCGTGCCGACGTTGTCGACGACTAGCTGGTAGACTTGGCCCTTGGCCTTGAGCGCTTCGCTGACGTTCTCCGCCGTGTAGTCGATGACCTCGTCGGCGCCGAGGCTGCGGCACAACTCGACGTTCCGGCCGGAGCAGGTCGCGGTCACGTGGCACCCGAGGGCTTTCGCGATCTGGATGCCGAAGGTGCCGGTGCCGCCGCTGCCGCCGTTGACGAAGACCTTGTCGCCTGGCTTGACGTGGGGCGCGATGCACTGGTAGGCGGTCTGCGCGGCCGTGCCGATGGTGCTCGCGTCTTGCAGGGGCACGCCGGAGGGCACGGCGGCGCACCCGGAGGGCTGCGCGAGCACGTACTCCCCTAGCGAGCCGTGCTTGCTGGGGGGCGCGATGCGGCCGAAGACTTTATCGCCGACGCGGTAAGAAGTGGTGATGGCGTGGCCGACTTGCGCGACGACGCCGGAGAAGTCCATCCCGGGGGAGGCGGGGGTGGGGATCAGGGCGCGCATGAAGGGGCCTAGCTCGGGGAACTTGTAGTCGGCTGGGTTGAGGGTGCTGTAGTGGACTTTGACTAGGATGGCGTCTTGGGGGAGGGGCGGGTGGAAGGGGAGCGGCGCGTCGGAGATTAGCTGGAGGTTCTTCTCGATGCCGCCGCGCGTCGAGGTGTATACCCAGGCTCGCATGGCCTGGGGAGGAGCTGGAGGTGGGGGGTTGTTGTTGTTGTCATCGTTGTTGGTGTTGTTGTTAGACATGTTGTTTGTTGTTGTTTGGGTTGGGTTGATACCCCTTGAGGTTGTGGTGCTGTTGTATGTGGTTGAGGCTTCTGCACTATGTATGTTAGGTTAGGTTAATTAGGAGGTATGTATCAATAAGTTGAAGATCGTGAGATAATCTCGGATGTCAGAGGTATGTTATTGTTACCTCATGATAAATTAAGAGTCACATGACGTGTGATGTACGGTATGTCTAGATGCGGTATGAAGCTGTTAGGATGATGTAATGAATGATTGGAACATGGAAATTAACTTCATCTGGCGTTATTCTGTTGGACTTTTATTGCCTTCTAATCTATATGTTTGTTTGTTTACCTGTTAGGTTGATTATAGAGTATTAACTACCTAACATATAATAGGAGAGAACAATGTTGCGACTTTAAGAAACTTCTCTAGAGATGGCCGGTATGTAGAACGATTCGGACATTAATCCTCGGGGACGCACGTGCACTCGCCGTACCAGCCCGGAATCCGTCCGCCGAAACCGCCTATGCAAGTTCTAGGTTAATTGCGTATATATATCTAGGTAGGTACTTAGTAGGGTTGGTGATGCTATTTATTTCAAACCAGTAACTGACTTTGTAACGCGAACATATCTGCCTCATGACTACATAGCAGCCGACGCTTATGTCACGACATGCGCGGATGAGCCGGATACGACAACGAGCGGTCCCGTTTCGATTTATGCCGAGATATAGTAACCTACCTAGGTATGTCGATCAGCGCGTGGCCTAGCAGCGGTGTCGGCAGCGGTGCTTCTTAAATACTCGTCCGGTAGCGGTGCGACTTACCCGCGCGTATTACCTTGGGTTAAGCCGACTGCTTCCGGGTTGTCGTCTTCGTATATATCTCTACCTATGCACTAACTTACATAGTAATTAGACGGCTGGACGGTCTAATTTAGACCTACATGTTTTATCTTATCTGATCTGATCTGATTTACTTTAGTATCTTGGCTTTCTTGGCCAGCTAGCGAGCTTACCGGCTGAGCCTAGCTGGCCTAGGTACCTAGGGATTCTGTGAAATCGAGTCTCGATATATGCACATATATTGTTATTGTGCGTCATCTTCTATTTCTTACTGAGCTTTGCGAGTAAGTGCCGAGGCTCGGGATCGTCTCGCTTATTCTCCGCACCATTACAACCTTTAATAAACCGGAATACGGCTGTATAGTCTATATGTGGTTACGAGGTCGAAGGTGAGCAGGTCTTGAGTATGGGTGTTTGGTGTGTTTAGTGTGTTTGGGTTAAGAATAGGTGGTAATTATGAATTATGATATTAATTGGCCTCAACTTACACGCATCGATAGAGACATGAACCATTACCTATTCCGCGACTAGCCTTAAGTTAGCGACTTTGTTATACCGTTTTTGATTTTCAGGTACAAGTATAGTTTAGGTAACACGAGGTGGGATTAGGTCCGAATCCCGGCTCTCCTTGGCCCGAGCTACGGATTTAAAGCGGCGCGAAGAAAAAAAAAGTAATTGTGACGTTAACAGGTACCTTAGGTAACCTAAAACAAATCAACCTCACCTAAACTACACTAAACCGAGAATAACTAAAGGAAAAGGAATCTTCTCTCAGCAGTCTCAGTTACAATGCCCCGCGTCTAGCCAAGCCAAGCCACTTTCCACATTATTCCCGTCTCTCGCAGCCTCGACCCCAGAATACTTATATTTATATATCTACCTCCTACCTATACTTGTCTCCGCCTTGAAATTGATATACCGAGAGAAGCCTATTCGGCTTCCGTTTCTGAGTCGATTGCGCGGTGAAGGAGATGTCTGACGAGAAGTCTAGTTGGAAGACTAATCCCTGTCCCTGCTGGATATTCTGCACAATTACGGCACTAGGTTAACGTTAGGTATTTTTATGAAAAGAAAGGCCCACACCATCCACCGTCTACCATTCATCATCCCCCCATCCTCCCCGGGGTGAGTCAATAAGTGTAAGTGTATCGTATCAGCGTATTCCGTACGTAGAAGAAACCTATGTACCGTTCTAAACTCAGCCTTGTCTTTGCTAGGATTCTTAGCTAGCCCGCGTAATTATCAATTATCTCGATTTGTTCTTTACATACATGCTCAATTTGACAAAATCTACCTAAATCTTACCTCTTACCTCAAGGCTTAGGTACCTACTCAACTCTTACTACTCGAAAGCCTATGGGATCTGAACCGTATGGGAATTGGTAGGCTCGAGAGCACCGCTCGCGGATCATCCGCACTATATCCAAACTCATCTTTTACTTCTACAACTTAAAGAAATTTAACGTCCATGGAATCGGCATCCCGTTCGTCCCCGAACGAAAACTCGATCGGCTCGCCCGCCGTATCCGTCGCTGCCTCGACACCTCAAGATTCTGCGTCGGTGTCGGTATCGAACTCCGCCTCGGTCGTTCCTGTGCCCGGCGCTCACAATGCCGCTTTTACGCCCTCGGGCCCCATCACCCTCGACCCGTCCACTACGCCCTCGTCTGTGCTGAATCCGCGCAGCTGCGTAACATGTCGACGCCGGAAAGTTAGATGCGACAAATTTATGCCCTGTGGCAACTGTCGCAAAGCTCAGATCCAATGCGTCTTCCCAGCACCAGGCCGTGCGCCGCGACGACCGCGCGTGAAGGACCCCAACGCCCCGCCGAAACAGACGAGCGAGCGCGAGATCGAACTTATGAAGAGGCTGCGAAAGTTGGAGAGCATAGTAGAGGATCTTAGTGGACAGATTGAAATAGAGACGGCGAGGCATCCCTCTCTCAGCGGTGGCGCTTCACCCGAGGCGACCTTAGATAATGCGCAGGAGAGAGAGCGGCGAAGGCAGAGCGGTATCACATATAGCGAGAATCTCCCCGGCGGCTACCCTCCGGCCGACCACCAAAAATTCGGCCGCTCTCAGGCCGGCGACTCCGCTAATCAGACATTAAAGAATCCAACCTCCGAGGTTAGCAAGCCCTTCGGGAGATTGGTGCTGAACGAGAAGGGAAAGACGCGGTACGTGAGCAGCGCGTTCTGGTCCAAGGTTAACGACGAGGTACGTTGGTTACATATTTCAAGGCCTTGGCGGATCGTGTCATTGACTTATGCGATAGCTTAACCAGCTTCGAACCGAAACCGAGATGCTCAGCGATGACGAGTCCGAAGCTTCGGATGATGGTAGTAGTCCTGGTGCGCTGCACCCTCACCCAGATTCGATCGACCACCACGGCTTCGTCTTGGGCTATAGCTCTTCCAACGTTGATCTACGAAAATTACATCCCCTGCCGTCTCAGATACCATTTTTCTGGCAGGTCTACCAAGAGAACGTCGACCCGCTGGTAAAGATATTACACGTACCAACTATGAACAAGATTATCCGCGAGTTGAGGAGCAACATGGACGATATATCGCCAGGGATGGAAGCTCTAATGTTTGCTATATATTATGCTTCCATCACCTCTATGGAGGACAACGAGGTACGAGCTTGACTACGTAACTGATTGATGTAGCGGTGCGGGCTAATTGTTATACATGTCTAGGTTAAGATAAATTTTGGCGCCGATAAAGCGCAGCTCATTAAAAAGTATCGCTTTGCTACCGAGCAAGCCCTTGCAAAAGCGAATTTTCTAGTTACGTCAGAACTAGTGGTAGTTCAGGCCTTTACTCTCTTCCTCGTGCTCGTCCGTCGGTACGATGACACGAGGTTCGCCTGGACGCTTACCGGTCTCGCGATCCGCATCTCGCAATCACTAGGAATACATCGAGAAGGGACAGAATTTGACGGCCTGAGCCCGTTCGACGTCGAAATGCGCCGTAGACTCTGGTGGGCAATTTGTATTCTCGACCTCAGATCGGCAGAGGACCAGGGTACAGAGCTGACGATTGCGGAGCGGACGTACGATACGCAATTTCCGCTAAATATCAACGATACGGATATAACCCCCGAAATGACGGAATTCCCGGAAGAAAAGCTAGGGCCTACTGATATGACATTTTGTCTCATACGTTACGAAATTTGCGCTCTGGCTAGGAAGATACACTTCGCAACAAACGGGATGGCCCCGTGCCGTTCCCGGAGTACGGAAGAGGAACGCCATAATATGCTCCACGAGTGCTACGAGCGGATTGAAACGAAGTATCTTAAAACGTGCGGTGACAAGGACGCGGATGTGTTACATTGGGTGGCCGCCATGATTGCGCGGCTTATCATGGCTAAGATGAGTTTAATAATTTACCAGCCGATGCTGCTCCGTTGGGGAGCTGAGGAGGTCAGCCAGGAAATACGACACCGTCTCTTTATGGCATCTCTCGAGGTAGTCGAATATACACGGGTATTAAACTCGGAACAAAGATGTCGCCAGTGGCGTTGGCTCTTCCAAACGTACGCGCAGTGGCACGCCGTGGCCTATCTCCTGCTCGAAGTGTGCCGGCTGCCTTGGACCGCGTCGCTCGAGCGTGCCTGGATCGTGCTCAGCGCGATATTCCAAACTCCCGACATATCCCAGCGCGCTAAGCCAGGTGTTTGGATCCCGCTGCGCAAGCTTATGGGACAGGCGAGGCGTCATAGGGATGAGGAAATCCAGCGGCTGAGAGCTGATCCTGAGGCTGCACGGCAGCTCGATTTGGAGGAGCAGAAGAAGACGCAGCCAGAAAGCTTCAAACACCTATCTAGCTCGATGCGGGGTGTTTTAGCCCAGGAGCAGTGGCGCAAGCTCGTGGGGGTTAAAGGTCCTGAAAAACCAACCTTCTGCATCTCAGACGTCACAAGCGGCAGCAGACAGACGGAAAAGAAGGGACTTACTCGGGAGCGGTCGGATATGGAAGTAGCCCCGGCCCAGTTGCAGTACGTCGACCACTTGATGTCTCAACCGTATCTCGACTCTTCAGACATCTTCTCAGTCGCTTTTCCGGGCGGCCAAACCTACCTTACCGAAGGGGGCGCTCAGCCCCCCGGCGGATCCGGGCCAAACCAGACGGCTCCCAGCGAAGCATTTGGAACCAGTAGCAATAGCAATCAGCCATCAACAGGTCAGCCTGCACATAATTTCCTAGAGGACAACCCTCCACCGTGGTTCTGGAGCGGCGTCTGGGGCCAATCCCCCCCGAATAACACCGCAGAGAACGCGCCGAATTCAGAGGACCAAGACGTTAATATGGATGTGGACGAGAGTTTCAACTGGCAGAATTGGGTAGACAACGGGCTCGCGATGGGAAGGGTTAGTTTTATGGGAGGGATCTAAGAGTTTCTACGCAAATGCTCAATTGGTATATATATATGCCTAAGTTGATCGACGGAATAATATATCATGGCCTCGAAGCGTCAAGTTACAGAGAGTATGCTTGGACGTTCGAGAGGCATCGATAGGTTCGAACTTGGCCCGTCATATTGCCGGGTAAAGGGCCGTTCTACTACTACTACCCTACCTTAAGGCAAAGGGTGCGAAGGCGGAAGAGGATGAGCGGCCGTGACGAAGTCATGATGCCGTTGCGTGTACATATTGATACCCTACTCTTGGGCTTCGAGCTTTGAATATGAATCGAATCGAAACATGGGGACTGGGGTTTGTGTTCCGGCATAGTTGGTCTATCATGAATAACAACAACCTTACGTTCGGAATCGTAATCCTGGTTCTTAAAATACACCCGGTATAGCTATGTGCAACTTTTGGCGTCTTTTATCCCGAGTCAACTTGATTATTAGTCTCATCCCGGTGGCCGGTTTCCGCGTTCCGAATCGACGGCTCAACTTTTGATCACCGGAGGAATTTGGAAACGAGTTTTGCATTAATCGATTCATTAGTTAACTGATTATATATCGCTATTGATTTTTGATTTGTCAGCATTACCAAATCAATATTATCAATCTCAGGGGGTCTTATAAGCCATTATTAACATGCTATTGACTTTTACTCTCAATGATGCATTTAAACCCAATTAAAGCCCACCACACGGTCGAACTATCTCGCCGCAAGGCCTGTTGTTCGGGGGGTGGATACGTCGTGCAACGGAGAATGACTTCCGGATGATACCGGGCAATATTGGATCGTAGGTCTTGGGGGAATGCGGCGAGTTTGTAAATTACCTACTAAATTGTAAATAAAACGAGTAGCTCCCGGCACGTCGTTGGTTTGAGGTGGACGACGACTCGTTCAGTCTCTAAACTATCGAATAGAGTTACCTCTTCGAATAAATATATTGAACGGGTGACTTCAACACTATACATACAGACATGTCCCACAACGTCCTAATAACCGGGGCCTCCGGGTACCTCGGTGGAGATCTCCTCGCTCGCATGGGCGCTGCAAACCTGCCGCCTTACGGAAAGCTATTCGCGTCCGTGCGGACGGCAGAGCAGGCGGAAGCCGTCCGGCAGTACGGCGCCCAACCGCTGTTTTTCAATCTAAAGGACAGGTCGGAGATCCGGACCGCCGTCGTCGACCACGAGATCACGGTGGTTTATTATCTCATCGATGCGGTACAATACGATCCTCCTTTGTTCTTCGTCGAAGCGCTCGCCGAGGTCGGGAAAGCGACCGGACGGACTGTTCATTTCTTACATGTAGGTTGGTTGGTTGGTCGGTCGGTCTCGTTTAAATCTAATTAGGAGGTTGTCTTTCAGACTACTGGGGCCAAGCTCTTTTCTAGCCATGCGGACGCCCCGACCGACCGTCTTCTTCTAGATACTGACCCGCTGTTATATGATGTCCAAAAGGCCCAGAGTCCGAAGCTTAGTGTGGCCCGACAGGTGAGTGTATATCGTAAGGGGTGGTTTCCTGTTCTGTATACCTCTAGCTCTAGGTAGCTAAGCTAAGCTCGAAATAGGGCGTCAGAACCAACTGCGCGGTCGTAGAAGAAGCTGAGAGACACGGGGTTCACGGGTACGTCTTTGTGCCCTGTATCGTGTGTAAGTCATCTCGCAGAGCTTCAAGTCCCGGGATCCTCCTATACGTTATCTACTGCATTATACACAATACATGCAAAATGGTATTCGGAAGCTTTTAATTATACCTACCTCGTTGACAATACCTATACAGACGGGAGAAGCAAGGGATTCGGCGACCCGGTTTCCACCCTGCGACAGATATATATGATTGTGCGGTCCGCGAAGGCATTGGGGCGTGTATATCGCGTTGATTCCGATCGGCCGGTGCGTCTACCTATAAGCCCGTCTCGCGACTTATAATTGAGCGCAGGACCTACTCTAACCGCGAAGGGAGCAGGAGTGGCCCGTATGCCACATAAGCGACAATAGTACGGCGTATATAGAACTCCTGCGCAAGATCCTAGCCGATGAGAATCCTAGCCACGGCAAGAATGGTTATTACCTTGCTGCTCCGGGGAGCGTTGCGGTAAGTACCTATCTGCGGCCTATTGTATAGGTAGCTTCCTAGGGTTGAGAAAAGGGGCTTATTATCGAGCCTTGCCTTCGGAGCATATTACCTACCTATATGATATACTAATCTATCAATGCTAGTGGGACGATCTATACGACGCAATAGCCGCCGCCCTCGTCAGACGCAACATCATCGCCGATGGCTCGGTTGCTCTTGCAGACGATAAGATTCTCGAGGATATGGGTGCTGCGCTTGGGATCCCGAAGGAGATGGTGCCGCTTCAGTTGGGCGGGAAGTAAGTTTTCTCCTCGTAGTTATTCTCTTTTCTATATATACCTACCTACCTAGCCTAAATAAACCCTCTTCGCCTGCCTAGGTAGTTACCTTATGTAGTTATGCTGACGTGGCGTCTGTTATTACCTAGGTGTACTCTCACGGCTCGACGTGCCCGTGAGGAACTGGGTTGGAAGCCGGTTTACCCGGCGGAGCATGTCTTGGAGGCTGCTGATTCTGAAGTCGAGTGGATTCTGGAGCATTTGAAGGACTGAAACGTACGCCAATGTGGTTATGGCTTGGAGAAAATATTCTATAGGTAGGAGGTATTGCAAATATATTTTTTTATCTTTCTTCTTACCCCTAATTGATATGATGCTGTATTTAGATTAGGTATACGCTTTGGCACGACTTAGGTTACGTGCGAGAAATACTCTTCGTGGATACCGTTAACCTTTATAATTTCCACCCGTTCAACTGACCTTCGATCATCTTCTTGTCTACTGATGGCACCTCCACCCGTGATAATCCCAGAGCATGGCTGGTTTCGTAGGTGGCCCTCTCGCCCCCCCGAGCAAGTGACGTACAATAGTATATTGAGACAAATCACGCGGGAAACATGATTTTCTTTTTGTCAAAAGATTCGCCAGTGGGTAAGAGCCTAGGAAGCCGGTAGACCCGAGCAACACAATTATAAGCGTTGCTGATTGACATAAAGTTGTTACACAGCGCCCCAAAGCTACGACGCTGTTATCATGCTTAGGTACTTATTATAATGTGATACTTACCATATTGTGATGGGGGCGGAAGATCTGGCGGTCGTTGAAAATGATATGTAAGACACTGGTGCCCGGCAGTGCAGCGTGTGTGGCATATTCATATATGCAAGTCAGATTCGGCCCCCATGAACCATTCAGGACTATTCTCGTGTTCTTGGAGACCTACATCTTAGTACCATCTTCACCAACGGGATTCGGGATTCTAGGTATTCGTCCTTTTTAAAACACGCGCACGAGAGGGTTCGTTGAGAAGCTGTAAACCTACCTTACCTACTAACCCACACCGACGAAACATGGATCCGAAAAACACTTCAGCCCTCGAACCTCCTTCAGGGGCAGAGTCGAATTTCGTTAACCCTTACACCCTTCAGCCAGCACTTATTATCGTTTCAGTCCTAACCTTGTCGATCTGCACAGTCAGTATTGCTGCACGGAGTTACGCGCGAGCTGTGATCTTAAAACAGTTTGACCTAGACGACTGTAAGAAGAGCATTCAGTTGTGTGCTTATTTAGGAGACGAAGCTATTCTAATACCAGTATATAGGCGCGCTCTTAGTTGCAGGGGTATGTATGTCTTCCCGCTATACGACTCGCCTTGCGTGGTTTGAATTGCGTATGACTTAAGTCTTCAAGATCTTGATTACCGCTTTCACTGCCTTGCAACTGGTAGCTGGCAACAATGGACAAGGAGAACATCAACGGAACATTACGCAAGCCGATATAGCCAAGCTCCTTTTTGTTCGTAATCCCAGCGATTTCAATGCAATATTGCGCAAACCACCTACCGTATGCTTTATATTAACTTTTCATTGTAGTATTCCAACATCATAGAAGTAATTTACGGGCCGACGATTTTCTTTTCAAAATATGTAGTGCTCCGACAGATAGAGTCCATCTTTCTCAACCACCGCCGTCAGCATCTCGCATACAAGGTCGTCTGGATCCTCATCTGGGTGAATCTTGCTTTCTATGCTGCAATTTCTGTTTGCTTCCTGTTTGCTTGCGTCCCCCGGGAGAAAATCTGGAATACGCAAGTTGAGGGCCACTGCATCGACGCCCAGTCTAGTGTCGTCACCACAAGTGCGATAAATGTGGTCTCTGATTTGAGTATCTTCATTATACCTATGTTGGGTATTTGGAAACTGCAGATACCACTAGCAAAGAAATTCGGGGCTGTGACCGTGTTTGCAATCGGTGTGCTGTAAGTCGTTTGGTATCATGGCAAGGTAATAGTTATATAAAAAGTATAACTAAGCTAATATAAATGGCTTAGTGCAATCATTTCCAGCGTTATTCGCCTCTATTATAGTGTTATATCAATCCAGGACGAGGACCCCAGCTGGGCGATTGGGCCTGTAGGCTATTGGGCGTAAGTTCAATCATCCGGGATGGAGGATAACTGAAGCGCTGACTGTATATTTATTTAGGCTTGCAGAGTTTACTACCGTTATCCTGGCAGCGTGTTTACCTTGGTTCCCCCGATTAATCAGTTGGTTGCGGAATCGCGATCCAGAATCCCAATATAACTCCTCAAGCGGTGCTGTTACAAAGACCCCACGGCGCCAGGTAATACAGAATGAAGAACATGAGCTTAGAGACACTACTAGTACGACGGCTTTACGAGTCGATACATACGAAGATCGATACTTATGAAATCTGGTTATCTCGCTACGTGGGCATGGTGCCGTCGGGGTTCGTGAGAGTTTGGGTTTAAGGCGTAATGAACAAGAAGCTATAGAAGTACACACGCAGGATACCTAGTAAATCTGGGCAAAGGGGGGCTCATAGGGACGATGTAGAAAATATGCGATGTGAGAGCTACGAGATCTCAATGGATGTAAGGCCGCAAATTACTCATTACCTATATAAGTTAAAAACTAATTGTAGAGTAATTAACTATACTATTATTATTGAATTGTGAATGAGCATGTAAAGGTATTATCTAGCTTAGGGTATTTATAGTAGATACTTTATTTTACTTGACCCCGGCCTTTATAACCTCCCTAGACTTGGCTTCCTCATTCCTAGCTAACACCATCGTAGATAAAAACAGTCTTAGCCACGCAACGTAAATACCTAATCTCACAAGTATTCTAGCTTACCTAGTTGAATACAATACTATCTGACAAACATAGATATGCCGAGTCTACCGAGCTTGCGTAGGCCCATTTTCAACTGTATATACTGGAATAACTAACTAATACAATTTGAATATATACACGACCCTTGAAGCACTCGAATAATTACCTACTGCCAATGGAGGGTTTTGATAGAATGTACTGTGGCTATCAAACATCTTGGGATCTTAAATCATACCTCCTAACATTTGTTAAGTATGACGTTCCAACTGTGGTCCAGAGAGAATATCTATAGCCAAGCGTTAGTCCGCATCCACCAGCACCAATGCTGGGATAGTAAACACTTACTTGTCCATGGGTATATGAGGTCCAGCTACTACCGCCGTTATAGGTAGTCGACTGGCATTGGATCAAGACCTCAACAGCATTACTGTGTAATATGTTAGACGACACGACCTGGTACCGACGCTCTCTTAATATTGAAAGGACTTACTCGGCGACAATGGTGCAAGGGTTATGCAATTCGCTACTGGCGTCGTTGCATAGGAATATGCCGGCGCCGTCATTGCAGCTGCTGACACTACATCCGCCATCACCAGGAACCCCAGGGGGCGCAGCGCAGTCCGCGTTGGCAATGCTGTACAGATATCTGATTCCGACGCCGATCGACTCGGCGTCGACGTCGTTGCCGTAAGCGCATGTGAAGTCCTGTAATAAATACTACGTATTAGAAGTAGAGAAACGCGGATGGGGCGTAGGGGAAAAAGGTGAGTGATGAGGTAGACATGCACTTGACGTTGTCGCTCGTTTCTTAATTGGTTCAAGATCCCGTCGAGTCACAGTCGAGTTGGGGCTTTTCAAACCCAGCTCATAATCATAATTCGGATTGATTTTTGTAATCCGCTTGTAAATTTCCTGCACAACTATGTCAGCATGACTCTAAGGTATACCGTCTGTTGGGGCTTACCTCTGCGGTGCCCGTGATAGATACGGCTGGCTCGCCTGGCTTGACTTGGCCTGTCCATGTTATCTTGGACATGCCGAAGACAGCGGACTTCTCAGCCGGCAACGCCTATACATCTTACATTAGCGACGTGGACTTGGACTTGAAAACGAAATCATTGAGCGATGGACATACGGCGGCTGCTACGGCTCCGGCGAGGAGATAGACGAATGTAGGGAACACCTTCATGATGGGTTACGATATGCTTTGCCTTGCTTCCGACCTACAAAGAAAGTCTTGAAGTAAACACCGACTTACTCGGTAACTTGATGCTATATACTATCATGGCACAATAGAAATCCTAACAAGGATGCCGATCGCTAACCGAAACAAGGTCACCCGACCCGACTGGCCTCCCTTTTATTTAACGGTCCTATGTAATTGATTAGGCAAGTGACATCGATCCAAACCGACGATTCCGGACTCATCATCAACCTCATTTTAGTCCTTATAACACTATATTGTGACTATAGATAGCTACCCTAAAGTTACCTACCTTGTCGCATGACTTTAGAGCCATCGCGGCTTTAAGTCCTTATTAAACTCGGCGATATATGGTGCTGTTATTGGCAGGCTATAGCGCCGGCCGAGGATAACATGTAACGTAACCAATTAGGTAACTATCATTTATAAGATTATGAAGTTGTATGGTCCTATATAGGTACGATGGACTTTTTCTCCAATCCACATGGAGCTGAGCTGACAAGGGGGCAAGATGGATTTATCTAAATCCAGGTATTAGGGGCTCAAACCGTGATTGAAAAAAAGCTTAAGTCGGATTGAGTTGAAGGAAGCATAGCTAATTGGATAGTCAAGTTCAAAATGTCCCGCGATACATTACTACCTACTATTACGGGTATGGTGACTTATTCAACAGACTCCCCGTTCAGGATCGGCTTGCCGGCTTGCTAGGCAATACACGTAAGCTTTACCACGAGGTATTTTTGGCAACCGGCTTTACGGCACAGCACAGCTTCAACGTGGCAATGCTTAAACGTGTTCGGGTGCAAAAAAGATCGTCCCGGATCGTCGATAATACTAGATCTTATATCCTTGTTATGCAATAATACGCCGTGTTGAAAGCGTTTACCTAACCCAACGTAAACAAAACATTTCATAAAATCGTCGAATAAGTATTGTACCTAACCTAAGGTTACTTGCCCAGTGCACTGGTTGGATAGGTAGGTAACTAAAATGGGCGTCGCATGGACGGAAATGTATGGTAGCGTCGGATGGAGACGAATGTGATTCCTTCACATACTCGGGCCCGTAAAGTCCTGCCGACGACGGGCACTTCACAAGAGAGAAGGTAGGTAAAGCCGACATTAAAACATGCTACATGACAAGGCGAAGCGAGCTAGGTATTGTACGATTCTGAGCAGGATAATTAACGCCGAACAGCCTTAGCCTTGATTGTTTCAGGGCCTTCGTGGCTTGTTTAGTTCCATTTTTGTAAGCTGACCCCATGTCCCCATGTCCAGCCATGGCTATGGCATGGCATGGTTACATATGGGGTAATTAAACACTCCTCCTGCAGAGGTCAGAGGTCAAGCTACAATAACCTGAAAGTAGCAGTTGCAATTTACCTAGTCGCCTCCAGCTTAGCCCGAGTTAAACCCACCCAGATCCGTAGGGAGTATTCTAAGATGGGGGAGCATATCACGTATAAGTTGCGGTGTCCGCAGAGCAAAAGCTAGCATGTCGTGCCAGTCGTGTCAGAAGCGCGCGTATGTGATATATTAAAGCTCACGCGCTGAAATACCAGGAGCCACGATGCTGTTCTCGGCTTTTCCAGCTTTTTTGCTAGCTTCCCTAGCCTCCGTCGCCCGGGCTCAATACCCGGACCCCGGCGCATGCTCCGGGTATTGCTTCACTCACGACCCCGCCGTCGTGAAGCGCGCAGATGGCAAATATTTCCGGTTCTCGACCTTGGACCTGATCGGCATCTCGACTGCGGACAGTCTGGCGGGACCCTGGACGCAGAGCGGTAGCGTAATCCAGGGCGCCAGCATTATTAATATGGATGGGAACACGGTGGTAAGCATTAGGGAGTCCTCCTGTACCCCAAGAAGAGCATCTTACTCACGATAAAATCCGATATAGTTATGGGCCCCCGACGTAAGTTATATACGGGGTATCTACTACTGCTTATATTCGGTATCGACCTCTGGGAGCCAGACGTCGGCCATCGGTTACGCAACTTCCACCACGCTGGAATCCGGGTCTTGGACAGACCAGGGAATCATAGTGACCTCAACAAGCAGCAGTCCATACAATGCCATCGACGGGAATATCGTCAACGGCACGGGCGACAACGAATGGTATATACAGTGGGGCTCGTATTGGAACAACATCTACCAGGCAAGAGTAGCCATCGACGGCGAGTACGTCTTCAGGTCGGGCAACGAGCACCAGATAGGGTACGAGCCATCGGGAAGCCACCAGATGGAGGGCGCTTTCATCTGGAAACGCGACAGCCTCTGGTACCAGTTTCTAAGCAGAGGCATCTGCTGCACTTACGACCCGGACACAGACCCGATCGACCAGGTCTATCATATCACGGTCTGTCGAAGCGACAACCCGGCCGGCCCCTACGTAGACCAAGACGGTGTTGCCTGCACCGACGGCGGTGGGACAATCGTGCTCGCTAGCCACGGAAATGTATACGCTCCGGGTGGGCAGGGAGTTTTCACCGACGACGTATATGGCGACGTTCTCTACTACCACTATCGTGAGTACCTACCTGCTCATAATTTGATACCCGAATAAAATCTATATTAGGTATATTTATACTAACCTGCTTATAGTGGATCTCAGCGTTGGCGTAGCTTATTCTCAGTCCAAGTTTGGATGGAATGTTATAAATTGGGTTGACGGATGGCCAACACTAGTATAAGTAGTCTATCAGCATATCATTTTGCCATTTGGGCATTTTTGTATATTGTATATATTAAGATCTGAATATATATCTGATTTCCCCAGAACGCTTTGTGCTGTTCATTTTTACGTTGGTCATTGGTTGATTGGTTGAGATATAAGGGACTACGCGTACGTATACCTACCTACCTTATCTACCAGGGTAGTTATTTGCGTGATTGGCGAGATGCTATGTCTAGACTATTTCTAATGCGAATGAACTAGACGCGATAGCTCCTAGGTAGCATATAGCCATATCTTCTCTTATACGTATATAGGCGATTACGCAATTTAAGGCTGCGATGTTAGGTAGTTCATAGGTAGGTGGCTATAAAATCGGAATTCGGAGCTCGGGATACTACTATATTGAGAAAAATTACGCTATTTAGCTGTTTTGAGATCGTTGGACCCTTGCAACTCACCATGTTTACGCATCGAAAATCCAATTGCTGACGGAGCCCGTAAAAATAATATTTAGATGGCCGTCATGTAGGTAGTTACCTAGGTCTTATACTTACAACAACAACAACAACAACAACAACAACAACAACAACAACAACAACAACAACAACAACAACAACGCCACCTCTATATTGTGTGTGTGTAAAAAACTAGCTTAGACTAGTAGTCTTCCGTTCAAGATGCCTTTCTCCGCCGGGGAAGAGAACTTGCTTCAGCTGAACCAGGAAGGCTTCGACTTCAATGTGCAGTTTGAGCAGCTGTTCTTCTCGATTATACCGTCTATACTATTCATCACAGCATCGTTATGGAGGACCTTCTATCAGGCGAGGAAGCCAACCATAGTGAATGCACCAGCTTTTCAACTCGTCAAGCTGGTAAGTTTTATATATGAGCGTGCAATCGAGGCATAACAGCTAAACGACCATAGGGTGCTATCACGACCTATGTTGGGCTTGAGCTCTCACTCCTCATTCTAGTCGCTGTGGGGTCCTTCCGTGTGACCAGCATGTTCATAGCCTCCTCGGTCCTCAAGCTTGTGTCGGCGTTGTTCATGATAACACTTAGCCTCGTCGATCACAGCAAGAGCCCGAGACCTTCCGTGCTCTTGAATAGCTACTTGTTTCTGACCCTCCTCCTGGATGCAGCTCAAGCAAGAACGCTATTTCTAGTATCGGAAGACAAGCCCGAACTCACCTACAGCAGCATATTCTGCGCTGCGATGGTTCTCAAGGTTGGAATATTGGTATTGGAAGCCCAACGAAAGTCGAAATGGGTCTGCTGGGACGAAAAAGAGCATAGCCCCGAGCAGACGAGCGGGATCTTTTCCCTCGGGGTCTACTTTTGGCTTAATAGGATCTTTATGGAGGGGTACAGTAAAATCTTAACCATGAACGACCTTTACCCCCTGGATAGCTCTCTGGATGGTAAACTGCTCCACGAAGAGTTCTCCAGAAACGTAGACTATTCGAAACTGAAGGGCGACAAGTTCGGCCTCGCAAAGGTTCTAATACGCACGTTGAAGGTCCCTCTCCTGCTTCCCGTATTCCCACGCCTCGCACTTCTCGGTTTTACGTTTTGCCAACCGTTTTTCATCGAAAAGCTATTGGAGCGCCTGTCAGAGCCCGACGTCGACGCAAATGTCGGATATGGCTTCATCGGGGCCAGCATACTGATCTACTCGGGGATCAGCATATCTACGGCCCTCTGCTGGTAGGATAACCTTTTCGACGATTTGCTAGAAAAAGCTATGGCTTACATGTAAATATACATAGGTACTTCCATCATCGAATGCTTACCATGACGAGGTCAATACTGGTCACCGAAACGTTTATAAAAGCTACAAAAGCCCGCATCGGGACGAGCGATGATAGCGCGGCGCTAACTCTGATGAGCACTGATATAGAGCGGATTAATATGGGCTTCAAACCTCTGCACGATATGTGGGCGAGCTTTATACAAGTTATCATCTCGGGTTGGATGGTGTACAACCAACTCGGAATAGTATTCGTCGCACCGATCGGGACCGTTATAATCTGCTTTACATGCCTAGCCGTCGTTATGAAGTATACGGGGGACTCGCAGAGGGCCTGGATGGCGGGAGTCCAGAAGCGTGTTGGCATGACGGCCACGGTCATCGCCAGCATGAAGAATCTGAAGATATCCGGCCTCTCCGCGGCCGTTAGCGATTTCGTACAGAATCTCCGCGTGGAGGAGCTAGCAGCCGGATCTCGATTCCGTAAGATAGGTATCATTGCAGCGCTTTTCGGGTACATACCTTTTCTACTTGGCCCGCCACTCACTTTCGCATTCGCCCAGCGAACGCTGGACGCCGCGAGGATATTCACGAGCCTTTCGTACCTCTTGCTCTTGACGGGTCCGCTGTCGCAGGTTTTCCAAAACATCCCCCAGCTGCTCTCTGGATTGGCCTGTTTAGGGCGAATCCAGGCTTTCTTGGAGTGCGAAACTCGTCATGATTTTCGACAAGTCCTTGCCGATATGAGGCGGAACTCGGAGAAGACTCGAGCAGATACTATCCCCTTGTCCGATTCAGAATTAGACTCAGCACATCCCATCGTCATCAGAAACGGCAAGTTTGGCTGGGAAGCGGGCAAATTCGTCTTACAGAGCGTGGACACTCAAGTTTCCAAGTCTTCGCTCACCATCGTCGTCGGGCCGGTCGGCTCGGGAAAATCTACGCTCTGCAAAGCACTGCTCGGGGAGATCCCTTTCAGCGAAGGTAGCGTGGTTTTGAGCACCAGATTCCCACACGTTGGATTCTGCGAGCAAGCAGCATTCCTCTCGAACGGGTCGATAAGAGACAACATCGTGGGGTTCTCCGCGTTTGACGAAGAGAGATACAGCGAAGTCATCGAGGCTACGGCTCTAACATTTGATATTGCTACATTACCGCAGGGCGACAGAACGAATATCGGATCTGACGGGATCACGCTATCCGGGGGACAGAAGCAGCGCGTCTCTCTCGCGCGGGCGCTGTATTTGCAATCTGATCTCCTAGTGCTGGATGATATCTTCAGCGGCCTGGATGCGGATACCGAGGAGCAGGTTTTCCGACAAGTCTTCGGCCCAGATGGATTAATCAGACAGCGACGGTCTACGGTCATATTATGTACTCATAGCATCAGACACTTACCTGCGGCCGATTACATCATAGCACTCGGAGACGGCACAGTCGTCGAGCAGGGTAGCTTTGACGAACTAATGACCCGTCAGGGATATGTTCAGCGCCTCGGATTGAGTAGTCCCTCTGATAGCGACTCTTCGTCTGAGAAGTCGACATCAAAGAGGAACGGTCGGGAATCCAAAGCGCCGCTGTTCCACACGACAACCGACACATCGTCCCTCGTGCCGGATACTAACGGATCGCGCCAAGTTGGCGATAAAACGGTATATAAGCATTATTTCAAAAGCATGGGGCTACTCATAGCTGGAGGCAGTTTTTTCTTCGCCAGCCTGTGGGGTTTCTTCTCGAACTTTCCAACAATTTGTGAGTCGGTACCGTCTTTGGACGGCGGGATTTCATCATGCTTGACTGTATAATCGCCTTCGGTCAAGCCTATCCTCATGTCAAACTCCAGGAACCATCGCTAATTACTACTATTAACTACAGGGCTTAAATATTGGTCTGATGACGTATACTCGGAACATCCATCTCACACGTACGCTTATTACGCGGGGATATATGCTTTACTTCAAGCTGGCGCCTTGGCATCGCTGTTTCTTCTTGGAACTGCGGTTTTCGTTGTCTCCGTCACAAGAGCAGGTTCTAATATCCACCGCGACGCCCTGAGAACGTTGATCCGAGCACCGTTACGCTTCTTCACCGTGACAGACACCGGCATAGTTACTAATCTGTTCTCGCAAGACTTGAATCTTATAGATACGGAGCTACCGAATGGGCTATTGAACACGTTATTCTGTGTAAGTCTGTCATACTGTATTCCGACTAGGGCCGGGGCGTATTTTTGCTTGTCGTTGGAATACTTAGTTATCTACCTACCTACCTAAGGCAACTAATACATAAATCTAGCTCTTTCAAGCAATAGGACAGGCAGCTGTCATGCTCAGCTCATCTCCGTATATGGCCGTAAGTTACCCGTTCCTCGGCGTCCTGCTGTATATAGTACAACGGTTCTACCTGCGGACATCTAGGCAGCTGAGGTTGCTAGACCTTGAGGCTAAGAGTCCTTTATAGTAAGCTTACCATCACGAGCCAGCGGGTCATTTCATTAAATACTGATATGAGTTCTCTTAGCACGCACTTCCTCGATACTCTTAAGGGTATTACAACTCTGAGGGCCTTTGGTAAGTAGCACGCGGAGTCGCTTGCGATACCATCAACATCTGCGACATTTCGAGTTGAGATATTGAAATTCCCATCCATATAATCCCAGTGCCAACGCTGACTCGTGGTTTACAGGTTTTCTTCCCGAAGACGTGCGAAAGAACGGCCGCCTAATAAATTCCAGCCAGCGCCCCGCGTATCTGCTCGCTATGGTCCAACAGTGGCTAAACCTCGTCCTTGACCTCGTAGTAATGGTGATGGCAGCGGTCCTAACTACCCTCGCCGTTCGTCTTCACTCGAACTCTGGCTTTGCCGGTGCTTCTTTGGTTACGCTCATGAGTTTTGGGGAAAACCTTTCAGGCATCGTCATATATTACACTAAGTTGGAGACTTCCCTTGGGGCAATATCCAGACTCAAAACTTTCAACGAGGAGGTCAGGCCGGAAGATAGGGATGAAGAGGACATTGTCCCTCCTGAGCAGTGGCCGCAGAGCGGTGAGGTAGAACTGAAAGGGGTGTCGGCGAGCTACGAGTAAGTTGGTAAAAGCACCACATTGTAAAAACAATACTAACATATGGGACAGTGCGGAAGACCGAATTGGAAGCGAACCCAACTTAGCCCTTCGCAACATCGAACTGAAGATCAAATCTGGAGAAAAGGTCGCCGTCTGTGGTCGCACCGGTAGCGGCAAGTCGAGCCTCGTCGCTCTTCTCCTCAAGCTGCTCGACCCCCTCCCAGAGATCTCCGGAGAGGTTATAATAGACAACACGCCGCTCCGGCGCATAGACCGTCAGACGTTGCGT